ACCTGCCTCTGCCTCCCGAGTGCTGGGATTAAAGGCCACCACTGCCTGGCCTGGGTCGGCCATTTCTTCTCTTGATTTTTGGGGATAATTTTCATGAACGCTGACAGGAAATCTCAAAATGAATCCTGGTTTGTCAGCGCCTCTGAAGGAAAGAACTTGGCTTGGAGTTAAAACTGCGCTGGACTTGCTGGGCGAGACCGAGGACGGCTTTAATCCCAGCACACGGCAGGATGGGGGTGTGGCAGACTGAGGGGTGGATTGGGGGTTGCAGGGTCACAGAGGCAGGCAGAGAGGCCAGCCTCGTCTACAAAGCAAGTTTGAGGTCAGCCAGGGCTACGAAGAGACACCCTATCTCAAAAAACCCAAAGCAAACTAACAAAACAAAAACAAAGCTTTCCCAGACTTTGATTTCTTGCTTGTTTTATTGTTATTTTGGCTTTAATGTCTTGGACTGTTAGAAATTATTCTTTTGGGGAAAATGCTGTATTTTACTCCCTGTTCTTTCTAAGTCACAAAATGAACCAGCCTCCCGATATTCAATCATCTGAGGTGACATTTTCTCTCAAAACGCCAAGGTTACAATGCTGTGCTCTGCACAGTGAAGTTGTGTCTTGCGTGAGCCCCTTTAATCTTTGAACATCCAGACATTTTTCAATAAAAAGTTATTTACAATAATACAGTTAAGGAAAAATGTTAACATAAAGGAAAGTTATTGCTTAAAATAATCAAAAGGTTAGAAATGGTATCAGTGTAGCGACTCTTAGCTCTTTTTCATACCTGACAAGGATGACTTTAATATAAGTAGAGTCTTATGTCTAATATGGTGGTGCACACTTGTAATTCCAGCCCTTGGGAGGGACAGGCCTTGGGGAGGTGATTTTGAGTTGGAGGTCAGCATAGGGAGCACAGTGAGTATTAGGTCATCCTGGGCTTCATAGTGAGTTCATGTTTCATAAAATCCCAAACCCATGATCAACGTGCTTTATTAACTGATGATCTGAGCGCAATGTCCTTTCTGCACCTTTCCTTACATACCTGTCTAAACCAAGCATGGATGTGTGGTGATGTCTTGTTTGTGCTTTCACAAATACAGCTTGCCTGATGATCAGAGCGCAGAGCTAAGCCAGTAGCTAACCATAGAGGCCTGGCAGTGGTAAACGCACACCTTTAATCCCAGTACTCTTGAGTCAAAGGCAGAGAGGTCTCTGTGAGTTCAAGGCCACCTTGGGCTTGATCCTGTCTCAAAGAGAAACCCAGTCAGGCAGTGGTGGCTCACACCTTAGTCCCAATACTTGGGAGTTACACACCTTTAATCCCAGCACTAGGGAGGTGGAGACAGGAGTGATATGGCTGGGCAGAGAGAGGAATATAAGGCAGGAGACAGGAGCTCAGTGCATGCAGTCTGAGGATTCATGGAGACAGGGTCTTGTCCACTTTGGTCTGAGGGTTTGGTAGAGGTGAAAGGTCTCTCTAGGGTTTGGCTCTTTTACTTCTCTGATCTGTCAGCATTTACCCCAATATCCGACTCTGGGCTTTTATTATTAAGACCTATTAGAAATCACACTACATGTATTTTTTTTAACCCTTTTAGGATATGGATGAGGAGATCGAGGCTGAGTACAACATTCTGCGGTTTCTCCCTAACCACCCCAATGTCGTGCAGTTTTATGGGATGTTTTACAGAGTGGATCGTTGTGTCGGAGGACAGCTGTGGCTGGTCCTGGAGGTGAGAGGCTTCTGTTGCCCAGCCACTGCATGGAAGTGAGCGCTGAGCGCTGGGGGCAAGCGGGTGCTTTGTTGACCAGAGTGTTTGTAGGTGTGCGGTGGAGGAGTAGACCCCTCCTGTGCACCAGGTACCTGACCAGCTGTGAGACACTGCAGTCTGTACAGCAAGGTGTGTGGATGAGCTTTCTTCTTCAGCTGATTCAAACAAACAAACAAACAAACAAACAAACAAAACAAAACAAACAAACAAAAATGTAACCCTCTTTTCTTCTAACACAGAGTGGATCTAGGAATCCAGTTGGGAAATATTATTGTGTTCTACAAATTGGAAACATTTTATAGAATTCATGTTCTAACTTAGTACGGCCCCTCTTAGAACTCTGCCTATGATGCAGTTGGCCGGCACCGTTTGTATCAGAGACTAGCGGAGAGAGAGGTGAGGGAGTGAGGAAGGCCATGGGGCAAGGAGAGGTTAAGCAGCAGTGAGACTGTGATCGTGGTCTCGGCTAATTCTCTAGTGCAATGGACAATGAGGAGTTAGCTCGCAGCTGCTCCTCTGCCCTCCTGCAGCGGTTGGCAGTGGTGGTGAGCAATTCATAGTGAAAGGTGCCAGGAGACATTAGACACACTGTCCAGGGGACAGCAGACATTCCCAGGAGTATCAGCTGTGCAGAGGGGACCTAGAGAGAACGTAATGTGTGCGCCTCTGTCCCTCCTCCCTTTTTTTAATGGGAATGAATGACATCCGGGGCAGGAGACTGAGTCCCCTATGTTACCTTCCCCATGAGACTGGAGAGAGTAAGGACAACAGGACAGGCCATTTCCTTCATTCTCATAGGACCCACCCTGATTTGTCTTGGACCCAGCCCCTCTGAACTAGCTCACTCCTCCCTGCCTCTGGTCATCAGGATGATACAGGAGCGTGAGGACACACGTGGACACCTTAAAGGAGCCCAAGAGCCACCTTCCCTTCACCGACTAGTGTCCCTTATCCTGGTCTTCTCGGATCTGCGCAAACCTGAGATCCGAGAAGACTATGGGGCAATATGAACTGGCTGTCATGTCAACCATGGATGGAGAATTCATTATTGCATCCAAGTGTGATGATCTGCAGGAAGCTAGTCTCAGTATTTCTGCTACATCAGCTACCTTCCTCACAAGCTAACAATACAGGGGTTTTTGATTTCTGTGACCTATCTTTGAGATATTAGTTGGCATCTTAAATCATGTACATTCTCCCATCATCTTTTGGGTTTCATTAACCACCTGCCCTTCACCCCCATCCTGAGAAGATTAGGGTTTTTAATCTTGTCACAAAACTGTGTAACCCTGATGCTTTGCTCAGGAAGGATGTTATTTCTTGAGTCTCTGTCTTCTTTTTTAGCTCTCTGTAAGAAGGTTGGTAGGATGGCATTGTTCCTAGGATGCTGGTGGAGGGGAAGGGTTGGTAGGATGTTGTTGACCCTAGGATGCTGATGGAGAAGAAGGGTTGTTAAGATGGCATTGGTCCAAATACTGAACACTGTAGCCTGCTCTAGAGAGTCTAGAGTGCAATGAGGGGATGCTTCAGTCAGATGAAGGATGGCAAACTTCTGACAGGAGAAGGGAAGAGCTAGGAAGGTCAGGTCAGAGCAGCATCTACAGGTTCATGCTATCTGTGTTCAGCACAAGAGAATAAGAAACAGCTGGAGGGGGTGATCCTTCCCACCACACTCACACCCAGGGAAGACTGAGCTGGGAGCTGGGAGCCTCCAGTCTATACACCTCTCAAAGAGTGACCATCTCCCTGCTGGATATGGAGTTTCCGGGTCTCAAGGGATGTGGTTTTCATTTGTGTAGTTGCAAGCTGGAGACTTGACTGAATATTCAGTAAAGTAAAGATTATCTGTCCCACCTCAAGTGGAAAACTGAGCTGGACTGCCGAGAGGCAGACGGAGAGACTGACATGATGCTTCCTACGGGATCTCAAGTAGTTTTGTCTCTGTTTTGATGCTCTCTGTAGAACCTCACACTCTTGAAAGACCTTGACAGTCTACTGACCACAAGGCTATGGAAGAAATTCTTCTTACCTCTGCTTCCTCACGGCGTCAAATCAACACATTGGTATAGGAGACACTTGACAGTTGGAGCTGAGGCTAGAACAGAGGACTGGAGACTGTGTTGCCTGGACCACTCCCTAATAACATAGAGAAGAGCTGAAGGCTTATTGAGCAAAGAACACTTCATTGCTTGAAGTTATGGCTGTCCCGGTGAATGCACATACTGTGATTGAGTTAATAGTCAGTGATGTTTTGAAAATGAGACACGGAATGTAAATTCTTTCTGCTATTTTTCTTCGTTTGGAGCAAAATGCTCATTAAATTCTAGGTGCATCCAGCTGCCTCATTTCCAGTGCTGAGGGCAGAGGGAGGAACTGAGGAGTGGAGGCACACCCTGCATTTGAATCTGACAGTTGGCTGGCAGAGAGGGCGGGAACCCTCAGGGCTGGGGCAGGAGGCTTGTGTGCCTTGACAGCTCTAGGGGGATTATTTTATTTAATTCATTTGAGTATGATTTTTTGCTTTGCTTTTAAAAGGCTCAATCCGTTTCACTCTGGACAATTATCAGTGAGCAGCTGCTCTCTCTCCCTTTATATCTAACTTAGCACATTCTTTCTCTGTAACCCACAGGCTACCCTTTTAAAGCCTTGCTAGGGAACTTATCAGCTTCCCAGGACAGCTTCCTTCTATATATCCCGCATAGGTTAATTACATTTCTGTGAATTCTGGAGAGCCAGACAGCTCTTAGCTCTGACATTTACGGAACAAAAGACACCAGCTGAATAAGATCTCTTTGTGTTTTGTTTTGTTTTTCTAAACTCACAGCTGAGTTTTGATCCCACTGACAAATAGCTCCTTTTAATCCCTTCCTAAGTTCTGAAGTGATGAAGAAAGGTCCCAAGTTTGCTCCCTGTGGAAGAGGCCCTTGCCACATTGTTGGCCATACTCAGAAAGAGAATAGCAAGAGTCTCCAGGGGAGCTTTCCAGCACTGTGGTAGCTTGGGTTAACACTTGGGTTAAATGTCCTCTTGGTATGATTTCAGCATTTCCCCTTCAACAGGAGAAAGCACATGAGCCCCTGAGATGGGAGCCCAGCTGGGCTTTGCATCCAGAGGAGCAGAGAGCTTCACTGGTACTTTCTTTCCTCTCCTTGTGTCTGTAGACAGTGCCTTCATTTTCCTCATGGAGGTACCCAGAAACCCCCTTTGATTCTAGGTCATAAGCACCTCATGACTTGACTTAAGGCCCTGCTCCCCCCCCCCCGCAATTGTTATTTGTGTATGTGGTGCATATGTGAGCATCGGTTCATGTGTGTGCACATATGTTTGGAATTAGAAGACATTATCTTTCTCTGTAGCTCTCCATCTTATTCTTTGAGATAGGATCTGTCACTGAGCCCAGAGCTCACCAGTTCAGGAAGAGTAACTGTCCAGAAAGCTCTAGGGATCCACCTGCCTCTGATCTCCCCAATGCTGACTGGGGTCACAGATATGCACTGCGACCTGGCTTTGTATGTGGGTGATGGGAACCTGGACCGCAGCCTTCATGTTTTCATGACCAGAACTTTACCAACTGTGCTGGCTAGTTTTATGTCAACCTGACACAACCTGGAGTCAAGAGAGAGGGGGGAGCCTCAGTTGAGAAAATACCTCTATAAGATCAGGCATAGGTAATCCTATAGGGCATTTTCTTAAACAGTGACTGGTGGGGGAGGGCCCAACCTATTGTGGGTGGTGCCACCCCTGGGCTGGTGGTCCTGGGTTCTGTGAGGTAGCAGATTGAGCAAGCCAGTAAGCAACACTCCTCCATGGCCTCTGCCTCTAGGGTCCTGTCCTGCTTGAGTTTCTGTCCTGACTTCCTTTGAGGATGAACAGTGATGTGGAAACATAAGCCAAATAAACCTTTCCTCCCCAACTTGTTTGGGTCATGGTGTTTCATCACAGCAATCGTAACCCCGACTAAGGTACCAACTAGGCTATCTCTTCAGTCCTTCCCCTCATGGATGCCTCCAGCCTTCCTGCTGGATATCCCATGCTTGATGCTGTTGTCCCTTAGTTCATCTGCCAATCTGCTGCCAAAATTCTATTTCCGGAATGTAAACCTGAACACTGAGGCTGGGGACTGTGTCAGCTCATGATTGAGCAATAGGTGATAAACAGTTTAATTGCAGCCTGGGGAGCAGAAAGGTAAACATGAAATGTTCTTTGTCCTTTTGGGGTCCTCTACCACACATCTAGAAGCTATAGAATTCGGAGCCTTTTGCGTGACAGTGCTGGCTCAGTTTAGAGGTCCCAGTCCACGGCTAGAAAGGTCTTTCCTTTGGGGCCTCTGGAGGGAGTGCTGATGGCAATGGAACTCTGGTAGAACAAATCACTCATCCAATGGCCAGGAAATAGTATGGGAGGATGCCTCAACCATCAAAGGCCTCCCACAAGGCCTTTCTTCCAAAAGGTCATAGCATCTCCTAATAATGCCAGTTTTTTAATGGATAAAGCTTTGAAGAACATTCAGCATCTAAACTATAGGCAGACGGAACTGGAATACAACATCTGGGACATGAGAGCCAATGGGGTTGAGTAGCTACAAATATTCTCCATTTTGTTGGTCCCCTGGACCAGTTTCTCTCTACCTACTGGGTTCTGCTCACTAGCTCCTGCAGCCACTTATGAAATAATCATTCTGAGGCTTAATATTAATTGCGTATTCTTTGGCCTATTAGCTCAGGCTTCTTATTAACTAACTCTTACATCTTAAATTAACCCATTTTTATTATTTTATATTTTACCATGAGGCTCGTGGTTCATTACCTTTTGCTTTTTTGGGTGGCTACATAGCATCTCCCTGACTCTGCCTTCTTTCCTCCTCTATCTCTGCATGGATTTCCCGCCTTGCTGTATTCTGTCCTGCCATAGACCAAAGCAGCTTCTTTATTAACCAATGGTAAAAGTACATGTTCATAGTATACAGAGGGGAATCCCATATCAAGGTTGAGCGACCAATTCAACTTGGTATTGGCAGACTGCTGACCTCAAGGTCACTTAATACAGTATCAAACCCAAAGAGTCATCACAATCTTCAAACATTGCATTGCTTTAGGGGTCCCTGCAAAATAATTCCCAACAGTATTTTGTGCTACTTCTAAGGATTTCCTATTAGGGTATTAGTATAAGCAACTTAAAGGCTAAAAGCACAGGCATTTTATTCCAGGCTATTTGATTGTTACTGTGTAAGAATCTGCCAAGTGTATGGCAGGGACGGCGTCCACATCAAACAGAAACACACTCTCGCCATTTATTAACTGCTGCCGTTGTTCATAACTGGAGCTGAATAGATCCTAATATGTTGAGGTCTCTTTTAGTCTAGCTGCTGATCTGCCCTTTGTCGGGCTTCATTATGTAAGAAAGCCATCCACTCAAGCAGGGGAGCACCCCCCACTCACTGGTTTACTTATCTCAGGCAAAGCACCCCAGGGAGCCCCAGTCTCTAAAGGGGAAGTTTTATATAAGCTCAAGGTGGGCTGCGGCCATGGCCATTGCATGAGAGTCCTGACATCATGCTGCCTGCAACCAGGGTGTTCTTAACAGTTACAGACGCTACCAAAGGTGGTTTGTAGCAAACTCACACTGACTCTACAATTGAAAGAGTTTATCCCTGAAAACCCTGACGTTGTTGGGAGAGTATGGTTGTATCTGTTCTCTGCACTCATACTTTAGTGATATACACTGTACGATTAAGGACGAGATGCAGGTGAAATCTTAGAATGTTTTACATTACAGACAGAGAAAGAAAGGGAGGGAGGGATGGAAGTAGAGAGAGAGGGAGAAATAGAGAGGCTTAAAGTCTCCTAAAACCTCGAGTTGAACCAGAGAAAGCCAAGCACACCACAGGCCTGACAGACATGGGACACCTTTAGAAGAGTCTCCGGGCAAGCCTCAGATGCCTGCAGTGCCAGCAAGGGAGGCAGGAGACATTGAAATCATTGAGATTTGTCTCTTGTCTGGTATCAAGGGCATTCATCTTGCCTCTTCAGCTTTTTTTTTTTTCATCCTCAAAATGGATGCTTCAGATAGAAAAATACCAGACAATAGTCTCATAAAGTGAAAAGTAGCCAGTAAGTTGCCATGGTTACTGATAGGCTTTTCTCTTTCAGATTTCTAAGTAATAACTTGTGCTTTTATATTTGACTTGGCAATTAAAAAGTCAGCCTTTGGTATTAGCATGTTCACTCATAAACCATTACTTTGAATAAAGACTACACATATACAAAGAACCTGATTTGGTTGTCTAATAGAAATTTGCAATCTAATTATTTTAGTCTGGAGTTGTGCGGTCTGCAAATTTACCACATTGTCAGCAATCAGTAAGATTTCTCTTTCTAAATGTATTTGTCTTTTCTTTTTGCCTTGGTTCTCCGGCTCCCTCTCGGTCCTCCACCTCCTCTCCCAGCTGTGTAACGGGGGCTCTGTCACTGAGCTTGTCAAGGGCCTCCTGAGACGTGGCGAGCGGCTGGATGAAGCTGTGATCTCCTACATTCTGTATGGAGCCCTCTTGGTAAGAACATCCGTGGTGGAGAGAGGACAATTTGTGCACAGCTAGGCTTCGCGCTGCACATTAGCAGAGGGGATTCAGTCTGGGGATGGTATAACCTAGTGTGGACTTCGATGAAACTGCTGACAGCTCTGATCTCTCTCTCTCTCTCTCTCTCTCTCTCTCTCTCTCTCTCTCTCTCTCTCTCTCTCTCTCTCTCTCTCTCTCTCTCTCTCCTGCTGTGGCGCTGGGACTCCGTGCAGGGCCTTCAGCATCTGCACCACCATCGGATCATCCACCGGGATGTGAAGGGGAATAACATTCTTCTGACTGCAGAAGGAGGAGTTAAGCTCGTTGACTTTGGTAATGACTGTATCATTTGTTTTCTTGTTGTGTGTGGTTTTAGCCCAAGGGGACAATTTGTTGCAATCTCTGAAGACTGGGGCCCCTCTGCTGCACCACAGGCTCGGGGACTTTCCAGGAAACGGGCTGGAGAGTGGGGGGTTTCCAGATGGATCACCCTCGGAGATAGATGCCTTTTGCTAATTACTTTCGGCTTTTGAAGCAATTTTATTAGATACAGGGAATAAAAGTATTGGGAAAGAAGAACTTTACAGAAAATGGTAATTTGGTTTGTTTGTTTTTTGTTTTCCGTGAAAGTTTCCCACCTCAGGGCAATTGTCTGTAATTTACATTTTTCATCTCTCTTTTGCATATGAAAAGAGAAAGCAGTTTGATTTTTTAAATGGCTTTCTCTAGCCTTGGGCATACTTATTTGCAGTGCACAGAAGGCAAACGGGTCCTCTGGGCCTGGGAGATGGGAAATTCTGCCTCCTGCCTCCACACGTGAGGCAGGTCGACCGGCAAACACTCACAGGAAATGTGGACAGTACCATCTGGGGCCAACGCTCTGTTCTGACAGTCCTAAACCAACAAGCCATTTAGTTTTCCTCTGTTTTGGCATATGGGATGGTTTACTCTTCAAAATAAGTTCAAGGGTTAGTTACAAACCATGAGAAACCATTTAGAACACTTGGGAATGTTACCAGTGTCACAAAACAAGATGGTGGTTTTTAGCATTCGCTATTTTACTGGTAAGAAATAATTTGGTATAAGAATGTGTCTGCAAATTATTTGTGTGAAAAGAAGTTATTTAAGAATAAATGATGTTGGGGTTGGAGAGATGGTCAGCCATTAAGAGCATCTGTTGTGGAGGTTCACAACTGTCTGTAACTCCAGTTCCAGAGGACATAACACTTTCTTCTGGCTGTCTCTTGCAGCAAGCATGTGGTACACACACACACACACACACACACACACACACACACACACACACACAGAGAGAGAGAGAGAGAGAGAGAGAGAGAGAGAGAGAGAGAGACTGACAAAACACTGACACACACACAAAGCAAAAATTTTGAAAATAAAGTTGTTTCAGGTGTGTCTGTCTGTGTTTTAAGAGGCAAATCAAGAAAAAGGGGCTAGAGGAAGCCGGTTGTCTGAGGCTGTGCTCCTCTCCCAATACGAGAAACGATAGAACTGTAACAATGTGTATTTTCCTTATGACTCTGAGGGCAAACTATGCCGGGGAGGTAGCCTAGAAGGAGGAGAATAGGGCTTCAAACCAATTTATCCACTACTCAGCTTTGCAAGCTTCGAGAGAGAAAGTGTTCTTAATCTTTCCAGTAAAAAGTTCCTGAACATCCAGAAATTAAAACCAGAAAGATGTAACTGTTTGTTTACTATATTGTTATGGAGGACTTGGTAAAGTGGGCATTATCTGGGGCCCTGTGACATGGGTAGAGTCCCAGCTACTGGGAATGCTGAGGTGGGAGACTCACTTGAGTCTGGGAGTTTGAGACCAGCCTGGACAACACAGCAGCGTCCTTGTCTCAAGCGTGGGAGCTTGGAGATGGCAGCCCTTCCAGGCTTTTTAACAAAAAGAATATGAGTGGCGAATCCTTGAACCTGGGGTCCTCTGCTCATCATCCAGGACCCATAGTCTCTAGGGTGGGTCCATCCATAAGAAGCATACGGTGTTAAGACTTGAGTTCTTGTCTTCAGCTGCAATAGTATCAACATTTCTCATTTTCTTTAGGGCTGTGCTAGACTTCTGCTTAGGATTTAAAAAATACATTACACTTAAAAAGTACATGACACGAATATTCTCATACTTGGTGTTAGAAGAATCTATCTGTAGGTGTGATTGTTGCCATCATCCTAGTTTGAAGATAGAAAAGTGAGGTTCAACAATGAGGTGGTCACAGACCAGGAAAAGGCGTCACTGAACTGGAAGGCGACTCTCTGGACTCTTAATCCAGTCTACATTTCCTTCTAGTTGATTTGATGGTACAGAGAAGAGAGGGTCATAAAAGGACATTGGAATAATATTAAAATTCAGGTCTTCAACACTGAGCTTTAGATAATAATGCTGTCGATTTCTTTTTCCATTTGAGAAGTATTGCTTTCTTGCCAAGTTCCTAGTCTTGTTGGCTAGATAAGGCCTGAAATCTTTTCATGTCTAACTGATGCTCTATTACAGATAATGCTTGCCAATCTTCCTCCACCATAAAATCAAGCACTTATTAAAGAAATCATCTGAAATAATTGGGAAACATAAATTGGAAGATATTTTGGGTTGGTCAATTTGTTGGTATTTTTCCTTATACTCCAAATCGGCAGTTATATGGACAGGAACATTCCTAAGGAAACACAGGTTCTGCGAGTTAGATAGGATGATTAAAATGTCATTCATGGGTTGGCAAAGTATTGTTCATGGGACAAATATGCCCCAACTTCTATTTTTATGCAGCTCATGACCTAGGTACTGTGTATAGGCACATATACAGCTATTGTAGTTTGACACCAGACCTTGTTATATAGCTCAGGTTGGCCTCATACTCACTCTGTAGTCCAGGCTTGACTTCAACTCTTGCTCCTCCCACTTCAGCAGAATCCCAAGTCCTGAGATCGTCGGCTTGTGCCACCAGGCTTCGTTTTATTTTTATATTTTTATTGACTGGTTAAAAACTCAGAATAATACATTGTCATGTGAAAACTGTACTCGATTCAAATTTCAGCATCCATAAATGAAGTTTTAATTAGGTATAGCCAAACTTATTTATTGATGTGCTTTTTTTGTGGCTGCTTTAGTACTCTGGCAGAAGTTAATTGTGACAGGGGCCATGACACCTAAAATAGTTACGATTTGGACTTTTATAGAAAACATTACCAGCCTCTGTCTAGCACCTGACGCAGCCTGATGAACTCTGTTACCCTTTCCCTGTAGGTGTCTCTGCTCAGCTTACAAGCACACGCCTACGGAGAAACACATCAGTTGGGACCCCATTCTGGATGGCCCCTGAGGTAAGCGGGAGCTATCTATTTCTTCGTACTTGTCGGGTGCCTTGCTGTTGTGCCTTTGTATAGGCAAGACATATCCTCTCTACAATTTTCAGAAGAAAATCCTTTATCCTTACAGAACTCTGAAATCCTCGTGGGTGAGGGATGCTGATAAGACAGTCTCAGAGAATCAGGATTACATCACAGTCAGCCCATAGGGTGCCTTCGTGCCATTAAGAAAAGGTAACCCCCTGGGAGAGGCAGCTTCAAGGGTGTTGGCTTGGCAAATCCATCTAGCTTCGTCTACGTTAGAAACCATCCCCTTGCCGGGCGATGGTGGCTCACGCCTTTAATCCCAGCACTTGGGAGGCAGAGGCAGGCGGATCTCTGTGAGTTTGAGACCAGCCTGGTCTACAGAGCTAGTTCCAGGACAGGCTCCAAAGCCACAGAGAAACCCTGTCTCAAAAAACCAAAAAAAAAAAAAAAAGAAAAAAAAGAAACCGTTCCCTTTTCTAGATAAATGCAGCCCATGCCCCACAGCTGGATGGCGAGCCTCATTTTATCTCCAAGCAGCCTAGAGAGCCGCATGCAGTGTTCCCCGGATGTTTCTATCACGTACATAGCAACATCTCTTGCGTATGTTGTTAGCTTTCTGCCATAGAACAGGGTTTGGTCCTAATTTAGTTCTGGCCTCAATACAGAGATGAGGCATGCAGAGGTAGGGGGGCTTTCTGCTGGGTAAGGCATGTATGAGTCACCTGTGAGCTTTGCTCACCGGGTCAGCATTTCATTCCTCAGTGCTCCGACCTTCGCCTGAAAGACATTCTCTGGGAGAAAGCAAATGGATTCTTTAAATCAGAGGGTGTAGGTGGTCACCCCTCCCCGAGACGGCTTTCAGTCTCCAATCTGTCCACGTGGTCAGTCTTCTGTGTGATAGCCCAGGTGATCTCCTAAGACAGCAAGATCGTTCCAATCTCTGCTCAATTTTCTTCAGTGTTTCCTACTACCTATGACTTTCCAGTTTTATATTTGAGTAACCAACAGATTCACTTTTCACAAAAGGGAAAAGCCGACAGATTACAGATTACAGAATTTACTTATTGTAAATGTTTCTTAAATAGGTTGAAATGCATGAAGCTGGATCTAAATGTTTGGTCACACATTATAGATCTGTAAAAAAATACTTAAAAATCACAAAGTCAGCACCCTTCAAGATCAGCAGTTTTAATGAGATGGTCGCTCTTGTTTTGGGTGTTATTTGCGTTCTGTGGTTTGACTGTGCCTCAGCACACAAGTGGGGTTCTTTGAGTCTGGTGTTCCTACCACCGTGTACCACGTGCTGGCCTCGCCTCCCCGCAGCCCCCAGCTTAGCTTTGTTTCCGTCCATGTGATCGCTCTATGCAAACAGTGCCTCCGCTGACTTCCGGTTGTTGCTTTGTGTAAGCTGGTCATGGTTTCACAGGAAGGTAACGTGGGCACTAGGTTATATGGCAAGTAGTTGCCCAGATGATCTGGGGTGTTTGCATTTGCGGCAATACAAATCCATCAAGTAAAAATGAAGAGATCCATTTTCATAAGGACCTGTGAACCCCACAGGGGAGAATGTGGTCACAGTTCCTTTGGATGCTGAACAGAGCCCTCCTACCACGTTCTTTTGGATCTGCCAAGGTTCATTTTCAATTCTTCTCCCTAACTCACTTCTTAATTCTCCAACAGCAGTGGTACTTTTACTTATATCTAGGTAGGAGCTTATCGCTGCCGCTTTCAACCCTAGCCCGCCACTGTCACCTCTGCACAGTGATGGGCTGGACTCCCAGGGCTTGAAGCTTTGTGGGGGACTTGGATGCTGACTAAACTCTCCACTCCCTGCTGGCCCAGAGCAGGGGCTCAAAGAATATTTGCTGGATAAATGAACATGTTGGCGGTGAAGCCCCAGGGATAAGATAAAGAGGGCACAGTTCAAGATAGAGGAATTGGCAAATTCCTCGTTAGATTTCAATTGATCTGCCCTGAAAGGGGAGCCTCGCCAGTCACTCGGATGGTATAGTGTAGAAGGTGTTCCTGTTCTGATCCCAGCAGACTGGGTCTCCTGGCCACAGGGAAAAGTGCAGAGGCCTTCCCCGGACTTTGAGCAGTTACTTGGCTTTTGTGGCTTCCCAGCTTCGGTTGGGTTGAGGTAAGTGTGTGGAACCATTCTGTAAGGCGCAGTGAGGAGGCCCATGGTCAACTTCTGTTTCCTAGGTTGCCTGGCCCTGACTCCCTTCTCAGCAGGGAAATCCTGAGTCTCCCCTGTCTACCACAGTGGGTTCACGGAAAGGTGGGAAGTTTGAGAAGTGGGACCTTGACACCATCACTCGGGAGCAGGTTTCTGCCGGCTCCATGTGGGTCCCAGCCTGCAGTTTTTAGCCTGTATCCCCCTCACACTTTAATTTTTGAAATGGAGTATGACTTTTCCCAGCCAAGCTTCACTGTGCTCCGTGACCCTTCGTGTCCCCCCACGGGAACAGCCTCCTGCTTGTCAGATCAGTGCAGTGAGCATTTACGCTTTCCACTGTGAGCAGTGCTTTGGGTCAGCTGCAGGGTTTGAAAAGTCTAATCAGTAACAGTTCAAATTAGCATTGTCTTCATGTGAAGCCTGAATACCATATCGATTGTAATATGCTTTTCCGTCAGTGCCTGTGAGTAAGTGGATTTGGATTAAATGCCGCAACAGTGCCTGTCCTAACAAGGTCAGCGGATTAAGACTTGGAGATGGCCTATACTTTATTTTCAAAATGCAATGGAAAGAGCCCTGATCTTATTTTATTTCTGAGAAATTAAGCCCATTATTTCCTTCCATTTCTACGACACCAAATTGAGTAACTGTGATATTTAATTCAAATAGGCTGTCCTACCAACCAGGCAGCTAGTGGAATGTGACCAGACCACAATCAAACGCTGACGAGCCGTCCAGACTCACAGTTCACTCTGGCTGCTAGAAGCTAGTCCCTTCTGCTCACTACGGTGGGGAGGGTAGGTAGGCACTCCTGCCTTAGCAGAATGTTGGTGAAGGGGAATCAACCCAGCAATGCGAGGGAGGGAGGATCCCACAAGGCGCTCCCACTTTGCAACAATACTTCTGGGGAAATAAATTGCTGGGCACAGTAAAAGGGACCGTCTGTCCATCAAGATCAGTAAATACCTAAGTAGCATGCTGTGCCCACAGTAAAGAAAAAAAGAGCTCGGCGTGAAAGATATGCTTTATATAACCCTGAGAAAGATAATTTAGGCAACAGAATCTATCTTTTGCGAGTCACATTGGGAAGAACTGAACGGAAGTAACAGGAGGCAGTGGAAAGAGACAATAGACAGTTGTGTCCAGTGCTAAAAATAATGCCTCAGATAAAGGCTAAAATCAGAAGACCAGGTGTGTGTGTGTGTGTGTGTGTGTGTGTGTGTGTGTTGTTTTGAATGGCAGCAGTCTAGGAAAGGGGATCCACATTGTCATCTGTCTTTTCATTGAGGTTATCTGTAGACTGTGTAAAGCAACACCTTAGACTTAGCTGGTGTGTGCAGGTATGACCTGCTAGCTATTAAAATATTAACATATTTCCATTCTGAGTGGTAAGTGCCTGCCACCAGGAGGGCTTGCGGTTTCCTCAGTCATAGAGACACTGTGTCTTTGCTCAAAAGCTGGTCTCTTTACCAGCTACAGGGGCAAAGCATGGGCAGGAGGGAGCCTTAGGCCAACACAAGCAGCTCTTCCTTCTTCTTTAGGGCCTGACACGTGCCAGCCCTGAGTGTCCTGCTGAGTGTCTGAGTTTGGGGACTTGGAACTCGCTAAGCGCAAACACAGCAGGAAGTAAGCCTTCCCTCACCGAGGCTGACTCACCCCCAGGACTCTGATAGGGGCTTTTCATACTGTACTTTTAGTTCCTTCTCAAGGGTGGATAGTATTTTTTCCATTTTATCACTGAGAAAAGCGAGGCTTTGAGAAGTGGAGGCGGCGCCATGTCCCAGTCTGCTTCCCTAGAAAGTGCTGAAGCAGTTTGGATTCCCAGGCAGCACGGTGAGAACACAAGCCCCATAGTATAGACGCCTGAGGCATGGACAGAATTCTCATCCGTGCCTGGTTTCAAGGGTGGAAGAGGCATGGCTGGTGAGTGAAACAGTTCATCCATCAAGACACAGAAGTGTGGCAGAAGGATGCTCTGACACCGGAGTTTGGAACACACCCTTTCTAAAGAAGCCATTCACAAAGTACAGCCTGGCTTTATGGCGCGATTCTGCCCATTGAGAGGCATCCTTGTGTAGCCAGGACCCTGTCTGCACACTCGGCATCCTTCCAAAGCAACTAGCGGCCGGTTTTTGTATTGGAAAACAGACTCAGGGATAAAATAAACATTTGCTTCTTTTCTGAAAAAAAAAAAAAATCCCCCCCCCCCCATTTACACTTCCGTCTGCCTGTTGTTGCAAACAAGAGCTAATCAGCAGAGAGGAGAAACAGATGTGCTGTGACTACGCTCTTTGCCCTGCCCAGGGTCCTTGACAGGGATGGTTGCCATAGCAACCATCTTACACCCATGCAGAAATAGCGCAAGCATTTTGCAACCACTCTTGACTTCATTAATTATGCCATTCCCAGCTAAATGATACGACAATGCTATTTCCTTTGGCCCTGCCAGGAATAGAAATGACAAATGAGATATTTTGTGTTGAAGGGTTGAAAAAGCCATAAAACATTACAGTTCTGGGAGAATTTTGCCATCCTTGTCATTTATATTCACTAAGCTCTTCCTAGTGGATTTGGCTCCCAAACGAGAGCCGGCATTTGCTGGCTATGTATGAGGCACTGAATGCTGTATATGTATGGACTGATCTGGGATGCTGGGGACAAACCACGGAAGGCAGGGCTGTTTCCACCCTAGTGTTTCTCACTGGTGAGGTGAATAAGTCACAGGAAGTAACCATCCTTTGTCCTTGGATGGTTATTAGAATTTGAACTGAGATGTTTAGTTTCAAAGTCCTCATCGCCACCACACACA